TTTTGAGACAGAAAATGCCCAGTTCTTTGAGAATGTTGAGTTTGTGGGGAGAGAAAGATTTCGTGACCTTATTTTTAAAGAGAAATGGGTTAATATTCCTATTCTCTCAGGTGTTATTGACAATGATCAGGGTCAGGTTCTTATACCTAATAATGTCATAGTATCTCCCATTCCTATTCAGGAAACTGTTCTTGAAGCACAAACTTCACACCCTTAAAAACTTATGCCATTAAGAAAATCCATAAGAGAGAGGAGAAGTGCAATACTAGATGATTATATTGTATATATCTAAGAACATGAGTTTGAGATTGGCACGGTGGAATATGATCCTATCAACTTCTGTCAAGCCATGAAAATTTTTAACTCTCGCAGGTGGATTGATGCCATGAATGAAGAGATATAGCGCATGAAGGACAATAACATTTGGGATTTTGTCCCATTGCCTATAGATGCAAAACCTATTGGTTGCAAATAGATATTTAAGACTAAGAGGAATTCGAAAGGTAATGTGGAGAGATACAAGATCCGTTTTATCGCTAAGGCTTTACACATAAAGAAGATATCGATTGTAAAGAGGTTTTCTCTCCTATTTTCTTGAAAGACTCTTTCAAGACTATAATGACTTTAGTGACACATTTTGATCTTGAGTTACATAAAATGGATGTTAAGACAACATTTTTCAACGGTGACATTGATGAGACGATTTATATGATGCAACTAAAAAATTTTGTATCCGGAGATGTACAACAAATGGTTTGTAAACAAAAGAAATTCATCTATAAACTTAAACAGGCTTTCCATTAATGATGTCATAAATTTCATCAAGTCCTTATCTCGTTTGATTTTGAGATGAATTTAGTAGAAGATTGTATATACCATAAGTTTAGTGAGACTAAATATATTTTTATGATTTTATATGTCGATGATATACTGCTTGTCAGTAGTGATATAGGCTTATTGCATGAAATTAAGAAATTTCTGACAACGAAATTTGAGATGAAAGATCTTGAGGATGCCTCTTTGTATTAAGGATCTAGATATACCAGGATCGCTTTTGGGGTATTCTTGAATTATCACAGAAGAGTTATATCGAAAAAGTTCTTAAAAGTTTTAGCATGCAAAATTGTTAACCAGAGACACCCATGTGTCTAAAAAAGACAAGTTTACTCTAACTCAATACCCTAAGAATGATTTAGAGATTACGGAGATGGAAAAGATTCCTTATGTGTCTGCTATTTGGAGTCTTATATATACACAGATTTGTACGCGTCCAGATATTGCGTACATTGTTGGGAGGTTAGATAGATATTTAAACAATCCAAGTATGGATCATTGAAAAGCAGCCAAACGTGTCATGAAGTACCTATAGAGAACAAATGATTATATGCTCACATACGGGAGGTCAAATTAGTTGGAGATTATTGGTTATTTTGATTTTGATTTTGCTGGATGTCAAGACAGTCAAAAATCTATATCAAGCTATATTTACTTCCTTGCTGGGAGAGTTATTTCTTGAAAGAGTACTAAACAAATACTTATAGCCTCTTCTACTATGGTAACATAATTTGTAGCTTGTTATGAGGCATTCAATCATCGAATATGGACACAAAATTTTATCACTGGGCTGTGTATTGTTGATGGCATAGAAAGACCATTAAAGTTATTTTGTGACTAAATCTGTAGTTATGTATTCCAACAATAGCAAAAGTTCGATGAAGTCAAAATATATAGATATTAAGTTCCTTTTTGTTAAAGAAAGAGTTTAAAGTAAGTAGATATCGATATAGTAATTAGAATAAACTCCATGATTGTGGATCCGCTCACTAAGGGATTACCAATTAAAATC